TCAAAATTGGCACGACCATTGGTGTGTTAGCAATCTGCCCACTCCTGCCGGCTGCATATGTCGCACAGGCGTTGAAGAAGCAGTTCCTGAATGATGGCTTGATGCTATTCCTTCCTCTCCCAAATTAGTGAGAGTGATATTGTTACAGGGATAACTTCAGTAGTGGGGCCCCACTAAGCTTCATGCATGTATTTTTAATAACAGTTAGTTTTGTGTCTTAGCATGGGTCTGTTTACCTGTGAAAACTTTTCTGTTCAAAAAAGACACATGGTTATTGTGTCTCTATTGCTCAACACGGTGCCTGACTTTGACTAATACGTGATTGAACAAGTCAGTGAACAAACCCATAACCCATTTTGCCTGTGAAGCCTCGTTGCTCTGACTCCAACAAATCCTCCCCCTCCTCTATTTCTTTTTCTTTCTCTGGTCAGTGGTACCAGCAATCCTTTGAAACTATATCTTCTTCCTTCCTACTTCTTTCTTTCCTTCCTTCCATGCTGGGGATTGAACCAAGGGCTTCCTACATGTTAGGCAAGTGCTGTACCGTTGAGCCCCACTCTAGTCCCTTGCAACTACATTTCCTAAACACAGCCTGCCTTCTTATTTGGTCTATTTGTACTAATCTAGTGTGCCAGCCCTGACCCCTGGGCACTGTTTCCTGGCCCTCTTTAGCCAGAATATTTTGTCTTTTTCAGTCCTCACAAGTTTGAGATAGCCTCAAGAATTTTATTTCGAAAGATGTTTCTCTAACTTCCTCTCCCTCAAGGTGTTCCAAGTTGTCTCTTCACCTAGATTTTAAATCACTGACAGTATATTTATGCTATATTAATTTCTTTTCCATCACCCAGAGGAGAGATGACAGGCCTAGGGACATGTGAGCTCCACCTTCTTTTTAGCATGCATCATACTCTTTAGCAATAAGTAAGTAACCATGTACTTTGCCTAGCATCCTAGTTTCCCATTTGGAAGTAAGTTCCACAAGGACAAGGATTCTATTTTAGTAACTATTGTATCTCCAAAACCTAGCACAGGACCCAATACATAGTAGAGCTCAGTAAAGATGTATTAAAGGATGAATAAATGAATGGATAGATGGATGGACTGAATGATTGACCTGTTATGCCTTTGAAAACAGGGAATGTTTTTGTTTCTGTGAAAAGAGTCCTCAAAGCCGGAGGCTCTGTTTGTGAAAGGGAAAAAAACAGGCCTTGGAGTAGTTGGTGACCAAGAACAATGGTTAATGTTTAAAGGGACTTCACGGCAGCTCAGTTAAGCGCAGGAGATCCTAGCATAGGCCAAAACTGGGGGGCAGGGGATTGGAGTAGGGAGTGTTGGCTCTGGGACAGCTGGGCATGGTAATGGAGATAATGAGTCACAATTTTCTATATTCAACCCTCCAATTTTCCCCATAAATCATATTTACTTTGGACACTGCTGTATTCCCAGAGGATTTGGAGTAAAGTGGAAGTTGGTTTGTTTATCTGTGATACTGTCCATGTGGATTAGTGTGTGACAAAAGCATTTCAGAGGGTTAGCTAATCACTCCTAATGCAGGTGGGTTGGGCCTGGGGCCGAAACCTCCTCATGAGATCTAGGCACAGCTGTGGCCTATGTCTGGACAAAGGGCTCAGAGACAAGGCAGGAGGCAGAATCCCAGAAGCAAGAGGCTCCAACAACCTCTTGGGGGATGGGGGGTGGGGGTAAGGGGAAGGCAGTTGGGTGGTCTGAAGGGATTGTCTAATTCTTGTCATGCTCACTAGACCTTAATTAAAGAACTTCCATGGAATCCTGAGTGATGGGCAGCAGGTCCCCAAGGCATGTGTCTGGATCAAGAATTAAAAATCTAAACACTTTAAAGATATGGTTGCTTTCCACATGCTATTCAAAATAAAACAATATAAACCATAAAAAAATGTGCAAAGAAGGCCAATAAAGTTCAGGTTTATTCCACGATGTTTTCCCATATGTTTTTCAATTAATAATCTTTAAAAATAGAGATTTTCTTTAATTATATAAAAGATTTTTACAAAATGTGGGAAGGGGCTCTGATCATGGAGGGAGCCATGTGAGGACCCTGGCCACTGAGGGGTGGGAGAGAGGCTCCTGTCACAAATTATTGAGTGTGCTCAAGGGTCCTTAGTGAGATACTGTGTACTGAGAGGACTGAGAGGATGACTGGGTCACTGAGTCATGGTCACTAGCTTCTGAGGAGACCAGGGAAGTGGGTCTTGGCTTTTGGAGGGCTGAAGAGAGGGCTCTGGTCATCGAGATATGACTAAGTGTCTTCAGTATATGGGAAGTCTAAATAAGGGACCCTGACCGTCAATTTTGGACTCATATAGGTAGAAAAAACTGCCCAATGTTGAGTCCAGTAGCTGAGATTTCACGGCTAGAATAACCAGCCTTCTTTCCTCCTCCCTCTTCCTCCTTCAGCCTGACATGTAGGCCTTCTAGTCACCATTAGATGGCACTGCAGCTCCACATTCAGAGGGGCAATTGGCTTAGGTCCCAAGGTGGGGTCCAGGTGCAAGCAAGTGAGATGTGGGAGACAGAGGAAATTACTTGCCCCTCTGACCAGAATCCCTTGAGGCAAGAAACAATCAGGCTTGATGACCTAAGGCAAATCCCCTAAACACAGAGCTTCTAGAGGCCAAACTCAGACTAGCTCCAAATGCAGTATGATTTTGTTTGATTCATTCATACATTCATTTGTTCATCAAGTGCCCATTCCATGTATGATAGAATTTATGCTAGGCACTGAGGATGCAAGGTGATTAAGTAAGGTCACTACTGTTTAGAAGCCTATAGTTTTGGAGGTGAACATTTAATGTAAATAAAATAATTACCATAAACATGATAAGGACTGTAGTACAGGGACGTACACAATGATTTGGGAGCCCAGGAATAAACTATATAAACAGTTTGAGGAGGTTTTGAATATTCAAGGTAAAGAAGTGACACTGAGGCAAAGTCCAAAAGCACAAGCAGGGATTTTGTGAGTGAAGCACAAAGGAGGGAAGGTGTCTGAGGCAGAAGCAAAAATGTGAATAGGGCCAGGCATAGTGGTGTATGCTTAAAAACACAGGATTCAGGAGGCCGATACAGGAGGATTGCAAGTTCAGCCTGTCTTAAAATAAAATTTAAAAAGTGCTGGAGATGTAGCTCAGTGGTAAGGGTCCCTTGGTTCAATCCCTAGTAATGTAAAAAAAAAAAAAAGTGTGAGTAAGGATGTAGGGTATGTGAAAGAGCTTGGGGTGCTGGGGGATTTTCATGAAGTCCAAAATATCTAAGGTATAGGAAGTAGGGTGAGGGTGAACTGGGAGGATGGTGAGGAGTGACAATGACAGATGTATATGGGGGAAGATCAGTAAGAACCTTATAACCCATATGTAGGGCTTTGGTTATGGTCCTATAGCAAACGAACAACCAGTAAGATTTTCAGTAAGTTAAATAGAGGGGCAGGATGCAGGGAATGCGGGAAGGGGCTCTGATCAAGTTAGAATTTATTTATGAGAATTTAGAAGGGTGATAAAGAAGAGAAAAAAAAATCTTGAAGGCAATTGAGGAGGCAGAATAAGCAGAATTTTGTATTGAAGTAGATGTGAAGGGTAAGGAAGAATGAGGAATTTAGAAAAATAATTAGTGTTAACATTTACTAAACATTTAATGCTTGTAATATTTATTTATGTATTTATTTGGTGGTGGGGATTGAATCCAGAGGTGCTTTGCCATGGAGATACATCCCCAGCCCTTTTTATTTTTAAGACAGGGTCTCACTAAGATGCTTAGGGCCTCACTAAATTGCTGAGGCTGGCTTCAAACTTGCAATCCTCCTGCCTGAGCCTCCAGGGTCTCTGGGATTACAGGCATGTGCCACTGCACCCAGCTAAACTCTTTTAATATTTTATACCGCTAATCAGAGTAGCAATCTTTAAGGTAATAATTATCACCTGCATGTTCAGAGAAGGAAACAGGAGCTCAGAGGGGTTATGTGACTAGTTTTCTTATTTACAGCCTACCCCTCTCCAGGTCATCCTCCAAACAGCCACTAGAGTGAGATTCAGAAAAATCCTTCCTTAAACTTCTCTACTAGCCTCCAACTGTTTACTCCATAGTGGTACACAAAGTCCTTAAACATACAAATCCTGCCACCCTTAGCCTTTCCTCACCTCATTCTAAAGATCAGGCAGACAGGGCCTCTGGCAGTTTCCTAAGGGCTGACCTTTCCTGACCCTGCACACCTGTCTATACGCCATGCTGGCAATGCACCCTCCTCCTGGAAACCTTCACAGACTGGCCCTTCTCCTCATCTGCACCTACTTACCCACTGCCCAATCAACCCACTCTTCGAGTCTTAGTGTAAATGTGGTTTCCTCGGGGTAACCTTCTCTGACTCACTCTCTACCTTATGAGGTCAGACACATATGTAATTCATTATCATTACACTCAGTACTTTCTTTCATAGTATTTATCACAATTATAACTAAGTAATTGTTTTCATAGTAACTGGCTTAGTATTGGTCTCTTCCACTGAAATATCAGTTTCTTGAGGCAGTTGGGGGCTACTTGATGGTATTAATTGCATCAGTGTCATAACAACAAAAAATACCACAGATAGGGGATTGATTAAATAAGATGTGATTAAGTGTTCCTTATAATTTCTGTCATTAAAGCAAATGAGAGTTCCTGTCACCCTCCCTCAAATTCCATCTGTTGATAGAGAAGACTCAAGCCTAAGTTGCAGAACCCCTGCACAGGACACAGCCACCAGGCAAAAGTAGGTAGGGGAGGCGAAGCCCATTTTCCCAGTCTGGAGTGACACATTTCCTGGGGATGAACTGACACTGATTTCTGGGTGGTGTCTGATGGGTTTGTCAGATAACCAGAGACTGAGAAGGGCAAGACTGGAGAATTGACAAGATTAAAAGAAGGTATTTATGGGTAAATCTCTCAAAATAGGCACAGAGATGAAACATATTCTTGTTTCACGAATGCTTTCCATATGGTTTTTATTCTTAATGAGTAGGTAGGCAGAGTGACTCACTCTGTGGGGGTTAGTTGTCTTCTTCTGGGAATCCTCCTCCGCCTTCAGTTTCAGTGCCTCTCCCTGCACCATACACCATCCCGTGGCTGAGATGAGGACTTTTGAGGAGGAGATTGATTTGGGAAGTGATCCCAGAGCAGGAGTGAGGGCAGAGAACAGTGAAGCAGGAGGAAGAGCCAGTTTAGGAATATAATTGAGTCAATCACTATTGTGAGCAACTGAGCTAAATCTTCCAGGATCTTCTGAGAATAGCTATAAAGTGCTCCTTGCACTAGCTGATCACAGGCTTCTTCTTCACTGGTCAAGATTTGCCCCTGGGTGTTAGCTGCTTTAGCTTTCAGGTTGAATGTGCAGGAGTGTTCCTTGGGCAAAAAGTGAAGCTGAGTCAAACTGCTGATAGATTCTCTATGCAGGAAGCTGGTTTCCAATGCCTGGAGAAAAAGATGAGACAAGAAGATGTGGATTGGGACACGATGTGTTTGCTACATCAATCAAACCTCCTTCTCCAACCTTTCCAATCTTTGCTCAGTGGATTCATGAATAAATTGGCAATGGGATCAGGGATGTTAATTAGGTTTGGATTCATAATGGAATTTTCCAGGCCAAATCTCATTTGGCTGCTGCCATTGCCAAGTTCCCAAATTGCCAGTTTACACTGACAAACTCTCAATTCATATTATGGGGCAGCATTGTAAGGGCAGCCAGCTACTGGTACCAGTTGGATTTTTTTTTTTTAACATCATTATGTAAGTGTCCAGAATTCCTCATAGGAACAGACACTTATTCTGAATTTGAGTATTTCTTCTCTAATTGTCATGATTCTACCAGTGCTGATATCTGTGAACTAACTAAAGGCCTTATCTATTGCCATAGAATCACATAATCTCTTAACTCCTATCATCAGTTACCCAATGCCATGTAACAAACCACCCCAAAACTTAACAGTAGTTTAAAACAACCATCATATATCTTTGACTGTGAATCTGTGGGCCATCTGAGTTGGCTAGGAGTTGACTGGTCTAGAATTACCTCACTCACCCAAGTGTGTTGGTTGGCTGGCTGATGGCTGCAGTGACATGGGAGACTGGGCCATGTGTCTCTTCCCATGCAGCATGCTAGCATGGGCTTATTTATATGGCAGGATCAGGGTTCCAAAAGAGAGACTGAAGTTTGTGTCGTAGGTTAGAACTGGCACAATGCCATTTCTGCTGCATTCAATTACCCAGAGCAAGCAATAAGGCCAATGTAGATTCATTGAGCAAGGAAGTAGTCTTTCTTTCTTTCCCTCCCTCCCTCCCTCTTCCTTCCTTCCTTCCTTCCTTCCTTCCTTCCTTCCTTCCTTCCTTCCTTCCTTCCTTCCTTCCTTCCTTCCTTCCTTCCTTCCTTCCTTCCTTCCTTCCTTCCTTCCTTCCTTCCTTCCTTCCTTTCTTCTTTCTCTTTTTCTTTTCCTGTACCAGGAATTGAACCTAGCTGGGGATGAGCCACATATCCAGCTCATTTTTTTTATTTTTTATTTTCAAACAAGTTCTCATTAAGTTGCTGAGGCTGGCTTTGAACTTGTGATCCTCTTGTCTCAGCTTCCTGAGCCACTGGAATTACAGGTATGAGACTCTGCACCCTGCTAGGCTCTATTTCTTGATGGAAAGGACTGAAAAATCACATTTCAAAGGGCATTGATATAGGGAGGGGTAAAAAATTTGGTTCATTTTTAGAAATAATGTATCATAGCTCTATCAAGAAATTATTTCACAGCAAAAGAAGAAAATGGACCAATATCCATGCCATTCATTGATTTCAGCATGAAACCTATGAAGGATTGAACTATGTCTCTCCAGAGATATTGTTAAAGTCCTGACTGTGATGACTGTTAAAAGTGACCTCATTTTGAAATAGGGTTCTTGCCAATGAAGTTAGGTTAAGATAAGGTCATATTGGATTAAGGAGGTCCCCCCAAACCAATGAGTTGTGCCCTTATAAGTAGAGGGAGATTTGGAGACATAGAGACAGAGGTTAGGAAGCCATGTAAAGATGAAGGCAAAGATTGAGGCGATACAACTACCAGTCAAAGAATGCCAAGGATTGCCAGGAGCCACCAGATGCACAGAAGGATTCACTCAAGCCTCTGGAGACAGTGCACCTTGTTGAGACCTTGATTTGGAGTTTATCCTTCACACTCAGAGACTAAATCCATTGAATTGTTGTTTTAAGCTACCACCTTTGTGGTACTTTGTTATGGTAGCCCTGAAAAGCAAATACAGATCTATCATGAAGTCACTGGTGGTACAGAAAAATGATGCTCAGCTTAGACAAAAGCTGGGGAACAATTTCTTGTGAGCTTGGCAACTTATCTTGTTGATGGTGATTTATGTTCTGTCAGATTTCTCTCTCTCTCAATCGCTCTCTTTAGTGTTCTTTCCCAAAGTCTGTACACACAGGTCTAGGTTGGGAAGTGAAGATAAGAGTGTCGTCATTCATAATTATACTTCAAAAGTCATTCTCAAAATGTTGGTTTCCTGGGGCTGGGACTGCAGATCAGTGGAGGGGCGCTTGTCTAGCACATGTGGGGCACTGGGTTGGTCTTAGCACTACATAAAAATAAATAAAATAAAGGAATTGCGTCCATCTACAACTAAAAAAATATATATTAAAAATATATTGGCTTCTTGACACTAAGATTATTTTGCTACCAAAGTCAAGGATATTTCCACTAGGGGATCATGAAAATGATTCCACTAAATTGGAGATTGGAAACCAGTCATTTTACATTTATCATGTCATGACACACGACAGGAAGGGAAAAGGGTATCCTAGTGTTGGCTAGGATGAGTCATTTGACCACTGCACAGAAAAGTGCTTTCCCCCAGTCTCAAGAGTTCATTTCACATGGAAGGAGCTCCTCTAAGGTAATACTCCTGGCCTCTCTCTGCAGAGGAGAAGTCAAAGACAGCTGAATGATAAATTTGGGAAGAACAAACTGAGCATATTGGTTCTGTTCCTCTAATTCTTTCTTTGGCAGCTGGGACGACCACAGAAACGTGTTCTGTAGGATAATTTAAAGGAGCTTTCTCCAATAGGGAGATCTCAGTTTTCCAGCAAGATCTATAGATGAGCAAGCCCCTCTCTATTTCTGAGGTTCACTCTATTTATTTATTAAATTTTTGGTACTGGGGATTAACCCGAGGGGTGCTTTACCACTGAGCCACATCCCCAGCCCTTTTATTTATTTTTTATTTTGAGACAGTGTCTCACTAAGTTGCCGAGGGCCTTGCTAAACTGCTGAGGCTGGCCTCAAACTTGTAATCCTTCTGCCTCAGCTTCTTGAGTCACTAGGATTATAGGCATGTGTCACATACTCGGCTGAAGTTTACTTGAAAAATTTATTATTATTACTATTATTATTATTATTATTATTTTGTTGCAGCACTGGGTATTGAACCCAGAGGCACTACTCTACCACCAAACTGCATACCTATACCCTCTTATTTTTTATTTTTAGACAGGGTCTTACTAAGTTGCCCTGGCTGGCAACCATGGAGAGAATAACCTTGGATTCATATTGCTTATCTCAGACTCAAGATCTGTCTCTTACAATGTGTTGATAATGTCAAGATAGATAAAGAAAAAAAATAGGAAAAAGAGATGCATTTAATTGTTTTTATTTATTTTCTTAAATCATTCATTTTGTTTTAAAAAGAGAGAGAGAGACAATTTTTTTAATATTTATTTTTTTTTAGTTTTCGGCAGACATAACATCTTTGTATGTGGTGCTGAGGACCGAACCCGGGCCGCACGCATGCCAGGCGATCACACTACCGTTTGAGCCACATCTCCAGCCCCATTTAATTGTTTTTAAAGAGGGTTTCATATAAGTGTGAGATGACTGAGTTATTATTAACTCAGAAATAGCGATAAGGGTCCAAGTAAATCTAACAAGATAAGAAAGTCTAGATTTCAGAGTTGACTGGAACAGCTCACTCAAAAGGGGTCCAGATCTAGGGCACTGCTACATTTTCTCAGCATTGGGGAGGAAGTGATCATAGCATGAGTGAATGGGGACCTACCCCTTAAAGACAACAGATGTGTTTGCTAGCTACAGAAAAACTGAATAGACTTGGGAGAGAAAGACAAGGAAGATCATTGTAAAGTACTTAAAGTATTGTCAGAGGTTTCTGGGTAACATGGTTATTGTATAAACAGATTAGATATGAGAGATTATGCCTGAAATATTTATGAATTAGGAATCTATGAAAAGGCATATTCAAGATAAAACATTAATGCGGATGCCAGGTGTGGTGTCATGTGACTATAATCTCAGTTTTGGGAGGCTGAGGCAGGAGGATCAATGGTTAAGCTGGATGATTTGGTGAGACCCTATCTCAAAATCAAAAAGAAAATAAAAATTTAAAAGAGCTGGCGATACAGCTCAGTGGTAGGGTGCCATTGGGTTCAGTCCCCAGTATAGGAGAAGAAAAGGAAGAAGAAGAGGAAAGAGGAGGAGGAGAAATGTCCAAGTGGCAGAAAGAACTGATTCTCAAGGCCTGGACTAATCAGAAGGCAAGAAAAGACACTGTCTTGAGGAAGATCATGGCTGAGTTACTAACAGGTATTTATTAGGCCTGAGCTAGTTGACCATCCATTCAGGTTTTCCTCATTTTAGCGCTGGAAATCTTGTATCCAAGGTAATTACCCTACTAATTGGGGCCCAAGTTCCCAAATGTTAACAGCATCTTCAGTTCAGGAATTGGGAACGGTCTTTCTCTAGTGGGAATGAATGCAGAGAGTAGGGAGAAACGTCCCTAGGAAGCAGGTTTCTTGAGCCTAAAAGAATTACTCGCAGGAGGTAGTAGCTGCAGCCACTTTAGGGAACAGAATGAAAAATGCCTTTTTCTCTCATTCCAACACTCCAGAGCACCAGTCTTGGAAGTCAGGACAGGCACGTATTTGGGGTGTAATCCAGTGCCAGCAGCTTTGGGCTCAATAGATATTGAATTTAGAAAAATTTGAGCAGACAGGATGGGAATGAAAAATCCCTTAGAAAAGGCCTAATGACCTTTCTAGATGGCATTATGGCAACTTTTTAAACTTTGAAGAAAAACAGAAATCCTTCAGATATTTCTGTCTGAAAGAGGAAGGAGGAGATATAAGCGGATGATTGAACTTTTCCCCAAAAGGTGTTAGGTGCAGAGTACTAAAATGGGAGAGACACTGATGCAATAGTATAAAGATCCATACTCATAACCCACCTTAATAATTATCAATTCGTGATCAGTATTGATTCATCTATATAAATGAAAGGGGAGGACAGCTATAATTTTCTTGTACATTCTGTGAGTAGATGAGTTAGTCTTCTTAATCTTGGGGTTCAAGATTATGAAATCCATTTGATAAATTATGTAGGCCATGTTTGTTAATATCAACTTTATTAGTAATG